TTTTTTCTGTTCATTAGTTTTTAAATGTTAATTATTATATATGTATTGCATATATTAATATAAAGAAAAGTGCATATAACATATATGTGTTTGGTCAAAAAGGTATAACTGATAACAAAACACTCAATCCCATCCAGGTCAAACATATAATAAATCATAACATAACCAGCACTCCAGTATTTCCAGTACCTCTTTGCTCCTTTGTGGTAGTAACACACTATCTAGACTATTTATGGTTTTTATTTTATTATTTTTCATTATAGTATATATATGTATCTATAAATGAGTATAATTTGTGAGTTTTAAATTTATATAGATAGAATCGTAAGTATGCCTTCTGTTTTATATGGTTCCTTTCACTCAACAATATGTCTTCAAAATATATTTATGTTACTATAGTGTCTGTAGTTTATTCATTTTCTTTGCTGCAAAGTATTCCATACTGTGACTGTAATACAATTTGTTAAACATTCTGCTGGAGATAGATATTTGGTTAGTTTCCATTATTTGGCTGTTCCAAATTCAAGTTTACTCCCAGATTTGCACTTGAAGTTCTTAACGTATTCCCTGTTCTTGGTCAATATCTCTTAGATCTCTGATGCTTTTTGAATTACAACCAATTTGTTTACTTGTCTTTATACTGCATTTCATATTATTTCTTGTGTTAATTGATCCCTTTCTTTGTGTCTTTTATCACTTTAAGCATACATTCAATCTGTATGGGAGGTTTTAAGTTTCTTGGGGTTTATGCCTTTTGTTTTCTCTCCTGTTTGTAATTTTGGATCATTAACTCATCTTTAGCCATGCTTTATCTCTGATAATCCTGTGGGTCCAGTATGTCCCTTGAAGGAGATTAGTTTTTTGCTTTTGCCAGGTGCTCTGAGTTATTATTGACTTTGAGTTCCTATACCACACTGGTGTAAATTTGAGCCTGAAATTCTTTATTTCTTTTTTTTTTTTTTTTTGGCTGTCTCCAACAACATTTTATTTACAAAAACAGACTGTAGGCTAGATGTGTCCATGACCATAGTTCACTGACACTGCCTTAGAGCTAGGGCCACTGCATAAAGCTGAATAATCTGTACACAAAAATGAGTAACCAGGGGGACAAGTGGGGACCGAAATGCAGCCACAATGAGCCTGAAATTCTTGATGGCTGCTTTGGGATGATAAATTATCAGGAGAGACTCTACTTTTTCTTATACTTAGGGTTTATGCTAAGACAAGATTTGTTTGTTTGTTTTCTTTTTCTTTGTGTGGTAGATTTTTTTCCATCTCTCTCTCCCCCCCCCTCAACTCTGCACCCCTCTCTCCCTCTCTCCCCCTTTCCCTGTCTCCCTCCTGTCTTTCCTCCCCCTTTCTCCTGCTCCATCTCCCTATTTCTTTCTCTCTTTTTTTTAATACTCCACACCACTAAGGATGTAGCACTTTGAAAATTCTGACTTTGTGTGTCCATCCTAACTTCAAATTTCTGCCTCTTGCAGGTCCAAAGACTTGTCATTTTGCCAAGAGAGTTTTAGCACTCAAATCCTTGGTTACCCAGCCTGGGCAGGCTCCTCCAGGGCTGCAGCATAGCCTTGAACATCAGTGCTCACTTACATTTCCCTCTTGGTTTTAGACTTCTCTGGTCTTTGGCTTCCTTGCCTTTTTGTTTGTTTGTTTTTTTTTACAGATTAACTCTGCATTTATAAGAAAGTTTGGTTTATTATATTCAGTATTCTGATTATTTTATAGAGGAAGTTTTTTGGTTTAGCTAGTATGCTAGTCTACTGACATTCTTTTAGACTCCATCATATTATAGTTTTTCCAGTTGTCTTCTGTTAAAGTCTTTGGTTGCCAGTGTTAGAAACTCAAATGAACTTAAACAAAAGGGGAATTTATTAACTCTTGTAACTGAGAAGTGCAGGCCTTTTCTGGCTTTAGATATGGGCAGATCCAGGGCTTCTGCAGTGTCACTAGGGCTCTTTCTCTCTCTCTGCCTTAACCCTACATTCCTCAGTTCTGGATTTTATTTTCAGGCTTTATTTTCCATTTATCTGGGGAAAATTATCTCTGCTATTTCTAGAACTTTGGTATCCTTACAGCTTATGGTCTGTCTTGTGTTACTTAGCACTTAACATCAAATGCTAGGGAAGACTTTTATATGCCTAGTTGGGGCACTTTTCCCTTTGTGAACTGGTTATGGTGGCCAGTGGGCTTGTACATTCCAGTTAGCCAGGCTTGGTCATGTGCCCGACTCTGGAATGTAAGGGAGAGTACACTGTGATAGGCAGGCCTACCAGGTCTGCAGGATAGAGGGAGGTTTGATTCCTCAAAGAAAAACTCAGGTGAGCTTCCCAATGTATAGAAAAGAAATGCTAGGAAGGTAAGTATCATATATGTGTACAGTTCTTTCCTTACCGGATCTTCAGACCTCTAATCAAAAATTTAAATGAAGATGTGAGACTACTGTACTTTGAACACTATCACTGTCTGTGATTGATCATTCTTCTCAACCCCCAGTAGGTAAGTCAGCTGTAACCTACCAGACTAGATCCCTTTCCCTTCACGGTCAAGTCCTATCAGTTTCACTTTCCGAAATCTCTGGAATCTGCTCGTTTTCCTTTATGTACCATTGATACTGTAGTCCAATCTATAGTCCTCTCTTCTCTGATCTTTCAAAATTAAATCCTTAACTGATATATCTCTGTCTGCTCTGGTTCCCCTTCAGTCTGTTCACACTGTAGTATAACAATCTGCTCAGAATGCACATCTAATTATGTGTTTCTTATCCTCCAACTACACCTCAAGCTTTTAAAACCTTTCATGGACAGAAATTACTAGTCGGATTTGCATCTGGCCCTTCACCATCCCTCTATTCTTGCTCAAGCATTACCTTTCCCAAAGATTAAATTATACATTCTCATAGTACCATCTACCTCTCCCTTTAACATTTATTATAATTACATTCCTGTATGAGTATTTGATGAATGTCTAATTTTTCTACTAGACTGTGAAAGGAGATACCACATCTGTTTTCTGTCATCATTTAATTTCACTGGCTAGAATGTGATTTGCCTTACAGTAGAAAATAAATATTTGTTTAATTAATTAACTGATTGATTACTGTAAAGAGACCTCCGTGGTAACTAGGGCAATTTATTTGTTCAACATCCATCTCCAAGAGCTTTCTAGTCAATTGATTTTAGATTTAGGCCCTCCAATATAATCTGACTTGAAAGTTTATACAGAATATTGTGTAGCTATCAAATGACAAGTGTGGGGATGTTTCAAGTATATGTCACACATGATTATGTTCATTTGAAATGATATGAAAGGAAGATTCAGATTATAAAGTGGTAAAGATACACTGATTGAAATCAGCAAGCAATAGGACATTGGACTGATTGGATATCTTTTTTCCCATTTGCAACATAGTAAGTTATTTAGCTAGTTGAAACCTCCATTTCCCTTTTGTGCTTTTCTGTTTCTTACGTATCGTTGGGTTTAAAAATTTATTTGCTGCAGTGGCTACTTGCTTTCAGACAAGAAGCAGGGAGTTTGTACCAACTTCTACTTTAGGAAGCGAAGACCATTGCCTAGAGTCAGTACTGACTGAGTTGACCAGAGTTAGGGCAGCACTGTTTCTCTCCAGCCTTGGGTACCATACTGATAAAGATAGTTTGCAAGGGGTGCAAAATAGGGTGCAAGGAGGGGCTTTTCTCTTCCTTTCTTCTATACTAGGATTGGACCTCTTCCTCTTTATATACTTTCTTTGTTTTTCCTTACTTAGACATGGATAATCCACTCTTCCTGAAGTTTCCTTGGGACTACTGCATGGGTGAAAATGAAATGACTTTATATGAATAAAGATGAAAAGAAAATTTTAATTGATATAAATAAGTTGAGTTGCTTTGTTACTGTAAGATGGTCTGGGTTCACGGTTCATATCTAATAGCAACTAAAATTGAAGTGATCTCTTCAACTGGCTAACAGCATTGCTTACATCAGAATTCTGGAGATTGGTTAAGAGAATTGTGCATGAGTTGGCTTAACTGTGAAGCAGAATTTATATACTTTAGGAAATTTGTAATGTATTCTTTATATCTATTAAGAGAATTAACAAGAGAAAATAAAAATTGATAGAGTTAGGAGAAAAAGAAAAATGTTAGAAGTAGTGATAAGGAGACAGCATTTTGATAAGTATACTGAAAATATACCTGGAGAATTTGATCTTCTTAATCTGAGTACTGGTTTTCAATGCTGGTTTGACCCTTTTTTTCCCTTTCACTTTCCTTTAAACATCATTTTAACACTTAACTCAGTGCCTTGCCTATTCTAGCCTCTTGGTAAATAAATACTGGCTAATTGAATGAATAAAGGAATAAATGGATGAAGATTGAATAGAAGAGTGACAAAATTATAGACTTTCACAACACAGTAGACATGTTAACTTCTCTTAATTAAGATTTGAAAATTAATCTTTACTAATTTAGATAATGTAGATGAAAGAATTGATTTAAGAATTTGAACCATGGAATTTTCAGAAGTTGGATTACGGTAGCTAAAATGCAAGTGGTAAATAATATGAAGTATGATAACTTGAAATTTAAATGAGCTGATGTTACGAGATACACAATCTTTAATTTAGGAATAATTGATTTTAATTTAGCAAAATTCAATCAGTGGATTTTTACTATATATTATGTATTGGATTCAAGACAATATATCTAGAAAATATTTTCCCCTACTTTTGGATCTATGTGATTAGTATCATCTATTGGTGTCTATGTTTAAATACGGTTTATGGTAAAATGTATGGGCTGTGGTGTCAGATTTGAGTTTCAAATCCCAATCTGCTACTTCTTAGCAAATTATTCAACTTGTTAAACTTTAGAAGGATCTCGTATAAAATGGATGAGACCTGCTGTAAGAGGTTCTTAGCGCGGGATCTGGGATGTTGTAGACATACAGTACGTGAGAACAGCTATTTTTTTTACTCACCGTCTTTTGTTCTGCAGCTTTCCCCACAAATAAACCAGATGAAGATGCAAGACATGTAATAAAAGTGGTGAGTGTTGCTTTTAAATTTGTGTTTCACATATATTTGACTTTTTTATTTTCTGCTTTATTCATACTACTTTTGTGAAAAAATGTTTTTCACCTTAGTTTTACTTATCAATACACCTAATATTTTCACGTTATTAAAATGTAAAGACTGGAGAATCTTGTTCTTCTGTGTTGACATTTATCATCCTTGTATCTTACCTACCTGGCTTCTCACTCTCCCTCTTATTTCTTCTCTGCTCTAGATGGTGAAGTTCTTAAAGGCAGGGATGAGGTTTTATTTTTGTTTGTATCCCCTCTGCCTAGTACAATGAATGAAATATAGGAGATACTCATTAAAGGTATCATGTATGAATGAACCACCAGGGTAGTTTGCAGTGTACCCACCCTGATGTACATGTTGGTACACATTGGGTGTCTGTCTATGTGTATAATTCATAGTGCTTTTAGGAAGTTCTTTCCATAAGGTTACTTTCATGTGTAAAACTGTATAGAGGTAACTTTATAGTATGTGAAACTTAAAACTGAGTTTCTTCAAGTTCATTTAATACTTCCCTAAGTTTTTTTTAGTGGAAATCTGGTGCCTGTGTTTTGTGATAAATGATTCAAGTACTATTATATATTGCGTATGTATACATATTTTTACAGTTGAAATACCAATTCTGCCTTTAAGATTTTTTTCTAATAAAATTAGTTGTTCTTTTCTTTAATAGGAATATCAAGAAAATGGCCCATTATTTTCAGAACTTAAATTTTATCAAAGAGCTGCAAAAAAAGACTCTAGTAAGTAGAATTAGCAAAGTTAGCTACTTGCATATATATGTTTACTAAAATGGGTGTTAGTATTTTTGTCTTATTCTGGCCTTATGGAAAATTGTTTTCAATTAGAAATTTTTATTGTAAAATGATACAGTTAACTTACATAAAAACAAGACAGATGAAAACTTGAAGTTAGTTGGAGACGGATATCAGATGTAAAAACTACCAGTTAGAGGATTTCAATGTGAAATAAATATAAGCAGAGCTAAGAAGAATAAAAACATTTTATAAATACTACGTGATACAGGTGGACTAAGTAAAAGTTAAAGGAAGCTGATATGAGTAACGACTATATAGTCAAAGTCCTTTACATTATGTTTAGGAAAAAGAGTGATGAGTCTAGCCTCAATAATTTGTTGTTTTAATAAAACCTTCTAAACATTAAGACTGTAGTCTTTACTAACTGCTTAAACTATGCCAAGGTGACAAGTAGAATGCATTAAACTCATTGTTTATCAGTAGAGCTGTCTTCAACATTAAACATATATAGAAGAAAGGTGAAAAATTAAATAAGCTACTTGATTGTTTAAGTGGATTTGATTTTTTAAAATGAAATTTAATCAAAACAATTTCCGTGTAATGTAATTTCAGAGTAAGATGATTTTTCTGCCCAATTTTTACTTTCTTTTCTACTACTGTAGCTTTAGATTTTTAGTAATAGGGAAGAAAAAGCCACCTTTTTACTGGTCCTTTAGTAGTTAATATATTTTATATTCAAAAATTTAACAAGCATATAAGAGAATGAATTTTTTAATGAATGAAAACATTTGTGTAAATGATAGCAATGCATTTTATGACTATGACTTTTTGTTTTGGTTTAACTGATTTAATTTAAAATTTAAAAATGTTAGAAATCTGTATATGTTTTTATGTTAATTATAGTGATAAATAGAATTTGAAACTATAGGCTAGATATATTTGACTTTTAAATTTTTTAAGAAGGTCTAATTTCTATTTAGTTTAGCTAAGTAAGTTTAAGTGTCTATTCAAAAGTAAGAAATATCTTCCTAAAAATGTGTCTTTTTTTCCTGTTAAATTTGCCTTTGTAGTCAAAAAATGGATAGCACTCAAACAACTTGATTATTTGGGAATTCCTCTGTTTTATGGATCTGGTATTACTGAATTCAAGGGAAGAAGGTAAAATGGAATTGTTATAATTGAGTATTGTATTTAATATTTCTTAAGTGGTCTGTTAGTTATTTGTTGCTATATAACTAATTACCTAAAATGTGATGGCTTATAATGACAAACTGATATTATCTCAGTTTCTGTGGATCGGCTATCCATGTACAACAGGCTTCCCTAGATGGTTCTGGCTTAGGACTTCTCATGAGGATGTAGACAGATGTCTTTGGGGCTGCATTAATCACAAGGCTGGACTGGGGAAGGATCTGCCTTCAAGATCACTTGCGGCTGTTGGCAGGCCTAAGAAGTTCTGCTTCTTAATTCACTCATGTGATTGTTGGCAGGCCTCACTTCCTCACCAGGTAGATCTCTCCATAGGCTGCCTGAGTGTCACAAAGACATGGCAGCTCGCTTCCCATAGAGCAGTTAATTGTGAAAGAGAGGAAGAAAGACAACACACACTAGAGCATGCAACCAGGAAGAACATCACAGTCTTGTTATGATCTGATCTGAGACATGATATCTCATCATTTCTACTCTATTCTCTTTGCTAGAAGCAGGTCACTAAGTCTACCCCATATTCAAGATGGAAACTTAATTAAGTTCCGTCTCTTGAGAGAAGCAAAGAATTTGTAGAAATATTTTAAAACTCATCAAACATAGCTAATCATCACATATAAATAATTCACTAATAGTAGTTTTTAAAAAGAAAACATTCTGTCATTTGTTAGGTACCCATTTTTATTCTTTCAATAGCCTTTTAAGACAGGTGGTAATATTTTTTTTTCCTAGCTGGGAAAATAGGCTTAGAGTTCAGTGCTTTGCTCAGATGGTCTTTAAATGCTATAAATAAAAACACAATGAATCTTGAAACAAAGTAAAGGACTACCAATAGGGAACTGAATGTGTCTGAATAAATCATGATACATCTAAACCATGTAATACTATGCAGCATTTTAGAAATCAGTTAGAGCTCTACCAGTTGATCTGGAAGGATTTCAGTGAGATTATTGAAAAAAGTATGATGCAAAAAAGACCATGTAGTAAGGTCACATTTTTGTAAAACAGTCAGAAATTCCCCTATGTCTGTGTTTGTGTGTGTATACATAGATGGATACAGAGTAGGGGCTGATGTGGGTGTGTAAGTGAAGGGAAGAAAAGAAGGGGAGGAGGTCCTAAACAGACAAGAAAAGGAAGAGCTGCATTTAAAAAAACACGTTTATAAATGTATAGAGAAAGTAAATATGATTTATAAGGTCACGAAACAAATAGAAATAAAATTTCCTGTATGGGCAAATAATTTATTCAAGGCTGTAAGGTGAGAGAGAATGTGATGGAGTCAAAATGAATTAAATTCAAGACTATTTAATTTAGAAAGACTCTTCTCTCTTCATGATCTAAGACAGTGTGGCTAGTTCACAGCATGTTCTTCTTTTAGAAAACTAACTGCAAAGTAAATACTTAGTATGCTTTTGCAAAATAACAAGATTATTCATGTATATTCGTCCTCCTGTGGTTGGGATTGCGTCATTCCTTATTGTTAGGTCAGGGGTGTTTTCACTTGTTTCAAATTCATAAATAGACGGTTTCAGCATTGCTGTCTTAACATCTGTTTTTGACTTCTCCTTCTTACAGTTACAGATTTATGGTAATGGAAAGACTAGGAATAGATTTGCAGAAGATCTCAGACCAGAATGGTACTTTTAAAAAGTCAACTGTCCTGCAGCTAGGTATCCGAATGGTAAGAAGGAATGACTTATTTCCCATGCTCCATTTTCAGATTATTTACTTGTTACAACATACAAATTGTTGCCCTTTGTGGAATTATCAGAGAATGAAGGATTATTGCCCTAGAAATGTCAGTTATTGAGAGTAGCTGCTATTTTGGTGAAATTGATAACCGTGGGCTCTGTAAGTGACAGAATGTGCTGCGTTTGGCACTACAAACTCAATTAGGCTTTGGTTCTACAGTCTGATTTTTTTTTTTTCTCACAGCTTTGTTTTACACATCAGAACAAGCTTGCATTGCTATAAGAATAACCTCTCTTTTGTCAGTTATATTTATAACAATGCAAACTGTGGCAAAATATATTATTTTCCATACTACACACATGATGATAAGGAGGGTGCTATAAAGTTTTTATTATGAGTTTGGGATGGTGGCAGTAATTAGTGTGGCAATGAATAATATATACTTTGCCAAATAAGAAGCAATGAAATCTTAATAGCACCCATGCACACATTTTGTTTATACCACATATTTGTCTTATCTTGTTTGTGTTTGGTGTGCCTAAGCTCCATTTTATCTTTTTCCATTTTAGATAAAGTGCAACTACTCATGCCAGGTTGGGATGTGGCAAATAGAACTCATTAATTTTCCCATTCATCCTCTAGCCAGCCAGCAAATGTTTATTGAGCGCTAGGTGCAGGTAATATGCAAGTCTCCTGGGCTTCACAGATGAAGCATAGGTGTTTTCTGTTACTCCACAGAGAGAGAATGTGTTTCTCTGTGCTTGTGAACATGGGGTTTTGTTATGGGGTCCCCAGAACTTACTTATAATTATTTCTTGAGTGAGGAGTTGCTGAGTGGGCGTCATGATTACTTCACTTTACTGTGTTTTTCCTCTTTGCACAGTGTGATTTGGCTCCCAGGCTGTCGGGAGCATAGGCATAGGCATTGTTGAAGCTTGGCTTCCTCTTCATCAGAGGTTCAGTTAAAACACTTGATATATGAGGATAATTTTATTCAGCTTTTTCCCAGGATGAGTGACCAGCACATGTGATAATTTTAGAATATGTAAGTGCATAATTGTGAAATACATCACCTTGTTGTTGTTAATATGCAAAAATAGATGTTATTCTCTATTTAAAATGTTCAGGTTGATCATGAATTCCAAATAGACATCAGTATAATCTTATATGTCTCCTTCCACAGTTGGATGTACTGGAATATATACATGAAAATGAATATGTTCATGGTGATATAAAAGCAGCAAACCTACTTTTGGGTTACAGAAATCCAGATCGGGTAAGTACAGTATTAAGCTTTTGCTGCTTTAAAGTACCATACTGAGACATTTGAAAGACAAATTCGTAACCTGGAAGAGTTTGCAGATGAGGATGTAACATGATGAGTGTTGTAATTTATCGTATCTTGCTTATACAATTTAATGCGCTGAACTAATAAGTGATTAGGATAAGGAAACTGAGACTCAGAGAGGTTAAATAATATGTTAATGAATATGTAATTAAGAAGTGCTGAGCAGGAATTTGAACTTCTGAGCAAATATAAACAAAGAATCATCAAAATCCAATGAAAGATGGGATGGATTTATGCAGAGATTTTAAAAAAAGCTGTCACATTAGTTCCTTTTCCACTGTATAAACAAGTTTTAAACAGAGCAGCATTTCCAGTAGAACTTTCTGTGATGATGGTAATATCCTATGTGTTACTGTGCAGTATGGTAGTCGTTAGTCACACATGGCTATGAAGCACTGGAAATGTGGGCAGTGTACCACCAAATGCTGATGAGAATGTGGAGCAACAGAAACTTCCATTCATCGCTGGTGGGAATGCAAAATAGTATGGCCACTGTGGAAGACAGTTTGTCAGTTTCTTACAAAACTGAACATATTCTAACATATGATCTTGGCAGTTATATTCCTTGGTATTACCCAGAGGAGTTGAAAACTTACATCCACACAAATACCTACACACAGATGTTTATAGCAATTTTATTCCTAATTGCCAAAACTTGAAGCAGCCAAGATGTCCTTAAATAGGTGAATGGATAAATAAACAGTGGTTCATCCAGACAATGCAGTAGTACTCAGCGTTAAAAAGAAATGAGCGGTTAAGACATGAAAAGACATAAAGAAAACTTAGATGCATATTACTAAGTGAAAATCTGTGTGATTCCAATTATATAACTTTTGGAAAAGACCAAACTATGGAGACACTAAAAAGATCAGCGATTGCCAAGAGTTAGAGGTAAGGGAGGGGTGAACAGGCAGAGTACAGAGAACTTTCAGGGAAGTGAAATAATCAGGGATACATGTCATTATACATTTGTCAAAACCCATAGAATTTTCAACACCAACAGTGAGCCCTATGTAAACTATGGACATTTGATAATAACGATGTATCAGTGTATGTTCATCCATTGTAACAGATGTAATACTGTGTCATGGGATATTGATAGCATGGGAGGCTGCATTTGGGGGCTGGGAACAAAAGGTATATAAAAACTTACAGATTTAGTGCAATTCATATCAAAATTCCAATGGTATTTTTCATAGTAATAGAAAAAAATAAAATTTGTATTGAACCACAAAAGACCCTGAATAGCCAAAGCAATCTTGAGAAAGAACAAAGCTAGAGGTATTACACTTCCTAATTTCCAACTATATCACAACACTATAGTGATCAAAACAGTATAGCATTGGCATAAAAACAAACACAGCCTAGTGGAACAGGATAGAGAGCAGTGCATATGTGATCAGCTAATCTTTGGCAAGGGTGCCAAGGATATTCAGTGTGACAAAGATAGTTTCATCAATACATGGTGATGGGAAAATGGGATATTCACATGCAAAAGAATGAAATTGGACTCTTACAAAAATAAACTCAAGATGGATTAAAGAGTGAAATTTAACACCTGAAACCATACAACTAGAAGAAACCTAGGGGAAAAGCTTAATTTTAATTGATTTAAATTTCAACAACCACACTGTATCAGCAAAGATTCAAAAAGTTAAAAAATTGAATCTATAAAAAATTAAAAAAGATTTAGCTGAATATTTAACTGACCTGTACGTGAGGAAAGAAATTTCTAAATAAAAATACTCCCCCATCTTAGAAAATATAGAGAAATTTCAAATTTTAAGCTGTCTGTATATTTTAAAAAATTGAAAAGTGAAAGGCAGGTGAAAAACTGGAAAATATGTTTATTTTTAATATTTTTATTGAAGTATAGTCAGTTTATAATGTGTCAATTTCTGGTGTATAGCACAATGCTTCAGTCATATATGAAAATACATATATTCATTTTCATCTTTTTAATCATGTTACTACAAAATATTCAATATAGTTACCTGTGCTATATAGTATAAACTTGTTGTTTATCTATTTTATATATATTAGTTAGTATCTGCAAATCTCAAACTCCCAATTTGTCCCTTCCCACCCCTTCCCCCTCTAGTAACCATAAGTTTGTTTTCTATGTCTGTGAGTCTGTTTCTGTTTTATAAATAAATTCGTTTGTCTTTTGTTTGTTTGTTTTAGATTCCACACATAAGTGATGTGGTATTTTTCTTTTTCTTTCTGGCTTACTTCACTTAGAATGACATTCTCCACGTCTATCCATATTGCTGCAAATGGCATTATTTTATTACTTTCTATGGATGAGTAGTAGTTCGTTGTATAAATATAGCACAGCTGCTTTATCCAGTCATCTGTGGATAGACATTTAGGTTGTTTCCATGTCTTGGCTATTGTAAAGAGTGCTGGTATGAACATTGGGATGGATGTATCTTTTTGAATTAAGGTTCCCTTTGGATATATGCCGAGGAGTGGGACTGCTGGATCATATGGTAAGTCTATGTTTAGTCTTTTGAGGAATCTCCGTACTGTTTTCCATAGCAGCTGCACCAAACTACATTCCCACCAGCAGCATAGGAAGGTTCCCTTTTCTCCACACCCTCTCCAGCATTTATCGTTTGTGGACATTTGATGATGGCCATTCTGACTGGTGTGAGGTAATACCTCAGTTATAGTTTTGATTTGCATTTCTCTGATAATTAATGATATTGAGCATTTTTTCATGTGCCTATAGGCCATTTGTATGTCTTCATTGAAGAATTGCTTGTTTAGGTGTTCTGCCCATTTTTGGATTGGGTTGTTGGTTTTTTTCTTATTAAGGTGTATGAGCTGTTTATATATTCTGGAAATTAAGCCCTTGTCTCACTTTTTGCAAATATTTTCTCCCATTCTGTAGGTTGTCCTTTTGTTTCATTTATGGTTTCCTTTGCTGTGCAAAAGCTTGTAAGTTTAATTAGGTCTCATTTGTTTATTTTTTGATTTATTTCTATTGCTTGGGTAGACTGCCCTAGGAGAACACTGCTGAGATTTATGTCAGAGAATGTTTTGCCTATTTTTTCTTTTAAGAAGTTTATAGTGTCTTGTCTTATGTTTAAGTCTTTAAGCTAATTTGAGTTTATTTTTGTGTATGGTGTGAGGGAATATTCTAACTTCACTGATTTACATGCAGCTGGCCAGTTAGGAAATCTATTTATGACAAATATTTTAGGATATATAGCAAGCTCTAAAAAATTAGTAAGAAAAACACTTTTTTAAAACAGTGATTAAATAGAATAAATAGAACAGAGAAGAAATATGAGTGTCTGAGAAATAGATGAAAAAAATTCCCCATCACTAGAAACTAAGAGATATGCAGATCAAAACAGTGAAGCAACATTTTAAAAGAACTTATCAAATAGAAAAAGTCTAAAATAATAATCTGACAATATTGAGGCTGATGTGGGTGCAGGCACTTGTAGAATGCCAGTGGGAACGTAAATTTAATGGGAGCAGGAGAAGAAATTAAGTTAATGGCAGGGCAATTTGGCAGTTTATATTAAAAGCCTTTAAAAGTCTGCATACTTTTTTAAGGTTAGGTTTATTGAAGTACAATTTACAAACAGTAAAATTCTTCCTTTTAAATGTATAGTTTGATGTGTTTTGACACGTTTCCTGTAACCACCACTACAATCAAGACAGCATTTCTATCATCCTCAAAATTCTCTCATCACTCTCTCTAGTCAGTCCCCTTCTCTTGCCCCCTGACGATTCTTTCTCTCGTATTTTTTTTGTGTGTGTATGCATTTTTAGGAATGTCATGCAAGTGAAATTATAGATATGTATTCTTTGTATCTGGCTTCCTTCACTTAGCATAATGTTTTGGAGAATTAACTGTGCTGTATTTCATAAGTAGTTCATTTCCCTTTAATGGTAGATAGTGGTCCTTTGAAAACTACTACAGTTTCTTTATTTGTTTACCTTTGGATGGGTATTTGTGTTCCTAGTTTTGGGCAATGAAGAATAAAGTTACTCTAAACATTCATTTACAGGTTTTTGTGTAGGTATGTTTTAACTTCTTCTGGGTAAATTACTAAGAGTAGAGTCGGAAGTGTATGTTTAATTTTAAAAGAGCCAAACTGTTCTCCGGAGTGATTGTACCATTACACATATCCACCAGCAACATGTGATAATTCCAGTTGCTCCACATCATACCATCACTTGGTTTCATTCATTTAAAAAGTTTAGGCCATTATAGTAGATGTTTAGTCATATATAGTAGTGGATTTTTTAAGTTATTTTATTTGTCTAGTTTTCTACAGGCAGTAGGAGCGTAAATCCAGCCATTGTGTTCCCTCATTGCTAAAAGTAAAATAGACCAGTTTTTAAAATTTCTTTATTTAATTTGAATTGTCTGCTCATGTCTTGTGCCCATTTCTCTAGTTCTTTTTTTTTTTTTGGTTTTTATTCCCTTGATTTTGAAGAGTTCTTTAGCTATGAATTATATTAGCCCTTCACCTATTGCATATTGTGCAAATATTTTCCCCAAATTTGGCTCTTGTTTTTTGATTATACTTATGGTGTTTCATTGCCATGTAGAAGGTGAATTTTTAAATTTTTAATGTGGTCAAATTTATCAATCTTTTATTAACTGTGAATATTGAGTCATGGTTAGTAACCTTGTACTACAGATAGGTTTTATATGAATTTTATTATATAATACTATTTTTTACATTTAAACCTCTTATTCATTTAGAATTCTTTTACAAGAGGTATTGCCCATTTTGTCTTTTTCTTAAACGGTTTTCCAGTTTATAACACTATTTATTAAAAAAAAAACTTTGCGTCAGTGATATTAGATGCCACTTTTATCATATACTTAAATTTCCTTATGTACTTGAGTTTATTTGTGTACTTCCTATTGGACCCTTCTGGTTTAACTGTTTGTGCTT